TTTTTTTTTTTCAGCTTATTGTTGGATCAGAAAGTTTTGATATTCGTATTTTCAAGAATGATTTGTTACTTTATGAAATGACAGAAACGGATGCCATAACCGGATTATGTGATTTGGGTGATGGTATTTTTGCATATGCCTTAATGAATGGTACATTAGGTGCATATAGTGGAAATACACGGTTATGGAGGATAAAAAGTAAAAGTCAGGCTGTAGCATTAATACAATTTCCGGATCCTAAAGCTTTGGTATGTACATGGATCCATGGTAAGGTAAGCTAATCATTTTAATTAACCAAAAATATTGCTAAAAAGTAAATTCTACAGCAGTTAATTACGTGAAAATTTTTATTTAGAATATTTTGAAATAAGTAAAAGAAAAAATAAAACTTATCGTACGCTTAGAGCATATAACGTAATATTGCAGATTGATATGAGAGATCCAGTAACAGGTGAAGTAAAATTAAAAGAATCAATCAATAATCAGATTGCTACTACCTTTATTACCGGTGATCAATTAATTGTTGTTTCTACGGATGGAAATGGTTTGTTTAATTGTTGTGTAAATGAATCATTTAGACGATCATTCATAAATAAAAGAAAAAAGAAAACTTCTCACTCATTAATTTAATATTAATATAATTTCTTCATATTGAACTTTCACCTTTTTCAGTTCATGGTTTTATAATTGATAAGAAACAAAATAGAATTAATGATAAGCAAAATTTATTGCATGAACTTAATCTAAAAAAATATGATTTATTGGTAAGTATATATTTTTTAAAACAAATATTCTAAATTCTTCAATAGTTTTTTTTTCTCTAAATTTCACTTTTTTTAAAATCCTAAAGTAACGCGAAAAATCTATCATTTTTTGACTTAAATAAATGAAATATGTTAAAATTGTTAACGTTGATTATGTATATTATATGTTAGTTTTATTTACAATTACGTGAAAGCTAAAGTATAAATAAATTTTAGCCCTATATTCAAGGTAAGCGTTTCTTCTTTTCCTTTTTTTTTTGTTTAGAATTTAAGTGCCAGTTTTTACAAGTAAATATTAAGTTTTAAGAAAAGAAAACAAAAAATTAGTGTTTTTCTCATTTCAAAAGTAAAACCTATAAATCTAAATTGTTTTTCGACGAATAAATTCTTAATTTAAAGCATTAATTATTACTAAATAATATATCTGTCGGATTTCAGACAGAATTACAAAACTATGAACAATGTAGAAATAATGCATTATCAAATGAGAATGAGGGAAATAAACAAATCATTCCGGTATGTTTCACGTTTTAAGCGTATTTAGTTTTATTAACTTTAATTTCTAAAAAAGTTATTTACATGTTTACGTTTATATCATCTTGCAGTACGTATCCTTACTATTCGCTAGTTAAATCAATTCCGGTTTCAACGAAGAAAACATACATAAAATAATAAAAAATAATTCATTGATTACGTTTTGTCAACTATTAAATTTTAATTTTTAATAATTCTATTAATTTGTTGAAAAATTAGATCGACGCACAATTTAATTCACAATATAAACTTTAAATTTTTGATTATTATATTATATAAACTTGAAACTTATATTTATATTAAACTTGTATATAAACTTACATTAAACTTGCAATTTTCTCATTATTTCAGGCTGATACCATTTTGGAAACCTCTTTAACAATCAATAATCAATCAAAGGTACCATCCGTTGAATTACAATTGATTGTTTCCAGTGATGCTATCATCCGATCTGTTATTTTATTCGCCGAAGGTATTTTCGATGGTGAATCATACATTATGTATGTTTGCTTTTTCTTTTTACATTTCTTATTTGAAATTATTTAATTTGGGAAAACTTTCGATTATACAACAATTTCTTTTCATGAATTAAACTTATTCTTATTACTATTATTTTTTTTTTCACTAACTATTTTTGTTTTTTCTAGAAAGAAAAAAAACGAAAATTCAACATTTTAAAAAAAAAAATAAATTTTCAGACATCCAACCGAAAATTATTCTTCCTGTATTGCAATTCAACTTCGACCTACCAAAGATATAGCTGTTAATCTTCACATTAAGGCACTCGTAGGATATGCTAAAAGGTTTATTGATATTTCTCTCGAATACATATACATTACTTAATACTTTTATTATTTAATTTGTAGCAAAAAAAATTCCGAAAAAAAAAAAAAAAAAAAACACAAATCTTACAGTATTCCATTAAAAATTACTTTAATTTCTACTAGTGATCATTTCAAAAAAAAAAATGAAGAATATAAAAAAGGCTAGCATGAAAAACAAAACATTATAAATACTATTTTAGCACTCAGCTACACGTCTTTGAAGTAACACGTAATATTCCACGTTTTATGATGTATGCATTAGATACGGAAAAGGAAAATGTAGTACAACCAGAAGGAAAAGCAATGTTTCATATTAACGAACGACCACCACGTGTAATTTACTTCCATCATATTAATAAAAGTCATTTCACCAATAAAATTTTTAAAATTAGCTTAAATTAATATTGAAATTGAAAAAATGTTCAAAAAATTTTTTCCTAAAATAAGATTTATTTCAGTTAGCAATTTGGGTTAATAGCAATTTTTTACTAACTAATGAAATTGTCTGTGAAGATGATTTCAACCTAACTGTTAATTTTATCAGTTTACGAACCAGCGAATCATTGATTATTGAAATGGATGGAAACGGAAAGGTTATATTAAATCATTTTTTTTTTTTTTTTGCTGAAGCGTTTTGGAAATTCTGTCAAAAAAAATTCCGGAAAAAATTTTTCTCAAAAAAAGTGATTTTTTTTCAAAACTTGGCAAGTCAGAAAAGCACTAAATAGCATAAGAATTCTGATATTCTGATAAGAATTCCGGTTTTCACTCAATTTTCTATCCAAATCTTGCCGGACCATTGAATCATCTAAATCAGTAATCTTCCGGCTATTAAACAAATAGTGAGTGGATAGCATTAGTATATTAAGTTTACTTTCAAGCTTGTTGAAAATGTCACTGAGCTAATAAGCAGTTCCATCTTATAAACTTTTTACACATACAAGGATAAAAAGTTAAAATGTATTCAATGAGAAGTATAAGTAAATATGTATTTAATTAATTAATGTTTACTTCAAAATTATTACCAGATTAATTAATTTTTTATTTTTATATATTGGAAAAAAAATTGAAAGTTGGAAGAAACAATAGAGAATGCTAAGCATCTAAAAACTATCAATCAATTATTTCAATTTTTTCAATTTTGCAATAAAAGGAAAGCAATTGAATTGATATTTATAATTATCATAGAGCAAATAACACACTCCAAAAATTAAACTTTAGATTTGTAATTCGTTTTTTTTTTTTAGACTTTGATTTGCAAGCGAAAATTCCATATCAAACAAAAAAATGAAAAAGAGGGAGAAAATTTAAATATTTTACAAAAACTTATTTATAGGTAATTATTCAAAATAACGACATCGAATTAGTTGGTAATATCATTCAGTCAATTGCTGAAAGTTTTGGAATCACTGAAATACAAACAACGGCAGAATTTCCTCGTGAAACTGCCAAACTCAATGATATTACAGAAAAGGTATTTAAATGATATTGAAAAAAAAATTTTTTTTTTCACTCATTCGACTTGTATTTCGATAAAATGTGAATTTTAACTGAGAAAATTGAATTTTTTAAACTCAATGCTATCAAATTTAGTAAATGCATTATTAATACCACTCGTATTATCAGTACCAAACATTTGGTACCACTTGTGTTTCAATGTCAAATGATTGGTACCACTTGTGTTGTCAGTGTCAAACAATTGGTACCACTTGTGTTGTCAGTGTTAAACGATTGGTACCATTTGTGTTTCAGTGTCAAACGATTGGTACCATTTGTATTATCAGTACCAAACATTTTGTATCATAAAATATCTACCATTCAAGAAATAACACCAACTAAATGTTTTCATATAAAATGATTTCGATTTTGTTCTTTTCTTTGTCCTACAGCTACATGAAATGTACATTATGCGTGATCGATTATCTGCAACGATAGCCGAACGATCTAATTCGATCAAAGAAATGTTGGTACGAGCTGAAGATGCCCGAACTATCAATCAATTGTAAATTGTTTGTCTTTTTCCCGAAATGCTAGGATGATTATTGATCATTCCTCAGATCTTTCAATCGATTCACTTTTATCTTTTAGTTTTCAGTTTTTTTTTTTTTGATCAATCAATATATTTAGAATGCTAAAACGATAGCAATATTGATTATGATTAATTTCAATGTTTTGCAAAAACTTACGTAAATTTTTTTTTCTTTTTTTTTTAGCTGTTTAATGAGTAAATATTATCAGAAGATGCATACGTTAAATCAGGCAATGGTAGCAGAACATAAAATACGTTGTAATAATCATGAAGAATTGCTTAAACTTCTTCGAAATCTTAACAAAATTATTGAACAAGGCTCTCGACTTCGAGGTTTTTCTTTTTTAATTAATTATACTAATTAAACTATTAGCATTGTTAAATTGAAATGACAGCAAAATCATTGTAATCTATAGAAACATTAAGAAATATAACAATTGAAATTCTACAATTCTTTCTATTGCATGTTCTTATCATTATGTAAATTATAAGCTAATTATTTGAAGTACATATTTCGATATATTTCAATTTTTCATATTTCAGTGGGTGCACCAGCTAGTCGATTAATTTCAGCATGTCGAGATGCAATTGTTCAGGAACATTTTGATATGCTTCAAAAAATTATCCTCTTTGGTGTATAACATGTAAAACAAATAATAATAAAATATCGCTAATTTTTTTAAGAATTTCAAATCAGGGAATAATTTCTATAACGTAAGAAATGACGTATTTTACGTATATAGAGTATGAAAATATAAAGCTAATTGGTTAAATATATATCAAAAAAGGCTATTATAAAGGAATGAAAAAGAAATCAATCATTGTGCATTAAAATGAATTGAATTCACTTCATAATTCCGCCATAAGTTCTTCCTTTTCATTCTCATCCATTTCAGTCGCTAAAAATAATCTATTCATGAATTCGTGAAATACTTATGATTACTGAATTTATTATTCATTAAAAATTAAAGTATTATTGAATTTTGTAAAATTGATAAAATTTACTACCAAAATTTATTTAAAATTCTGTTAAAAATTTAACAATCTTTTTTTAGATAAACCATAGCAAGAAAATATATACCATATTGTCCGCAATCCGGAAGACCACCCATTACCCGTGAGTTATCAAATTCTCGACCATATTTATCAACACACCAACAGAAATTCTCATGACATTGCTCTGCCTTATAATATCCTTCTAATGTACAACGTGGATGAAAGGTACCTAGATACCGTAATCGACAGAACATTCATTGTGCAAAATTACAGTAAAAGTAACGTAGTAAAAGAAGCATACTGTAGAAAAAACATTTCTTTTATCGGAGTGAATGATGAAATGAAATTTAAGAAACTCAGATTAAATCACTCTGGAAAACTCGAATTTATTGACTAAAAAATTTTCGGTCAATTCTCACAGTGCTTTTCCGGAATCTTTTTAATCCTTTATACAATTCTTCAGTGATAGAATAGTTTAAAGATAAGAAGAGATAATTACATTAAAATATACCTACCCAATAAATGTGGATCTTGTTGATGTTTTGCTGCATGACATGGTGGTTCATGGCGATCATTATCAGCCCAAGCAAAGCAATCACACCACTCGTCTAATGTTATCACATTATCATTGCCTGGCTCCGTATCTGTTATCAGTATTTATCATATTTCAAAATATTCCAATAGAAAAAGATGTATTGCAAATAAATAATAAATGTGATGAAACTATTCCAGAAAATGCTTTCTTCCTACTATTCTAAAATCATAGAAATGATATCTTTTCCACTAAAAAAAAAAAATAATTGATCATATTTGTGACTTGATGAATGACGTAAACACACGTAACGTAAAAACGACGTGTAAGATTGTAAAAAGATAAGTTACCAACCACAGCGATCAATGTATGCTTTTAGACATTTCTCGTTTAAATCTGTTTCTAATGGAATTAATTCCTTTATGCTCAATTCCCCATCATTATTACCATCCCATTGTTGGAACATCCATGCAACATCCTTACGGCACATTGTCTTATGTTCTGCAATTAATTAATTAATTAACTGATTGATTAATTAATTATTCTGCACTTTTATTTGATTACAACTATTATTTATTCGCTTACTTATTAACTTATCTTCACTAATTGCAATCACTTTTTTTCTGCTGTTCTCTTGTTTATTCACTCTGTTTATATAATTCAGAGATAAGATTTCATTTTAAATAAGTATCATTTAGGTAAATATTATGGTTTACCGATTGATAGCTTAAATAAACTATTTAAGTTATTTAGATATCAAACTATCTAAGCTAACAGATGATAAGTTAAAACTTTCATTCCTGAATTTTTTTTGTTTTAAATTAATTTGTCTGAATTCTTTTTATATCCATGAATCGTAACTATTTTCACTTAATAGTATACGATAAAAGCTTTATCCGGAAAATTCCACCTCAGAGTAACGGGAATATCACGGAAAATGCAAGAAAAGAAAGCGAAAGATTTTGTAAAGAATTCTTTATACTAATAGGAATTTTCTTAATAATCTTTCTGAAACCGTTAAGCAATCAATGATGATTTATCAGTGATAATTTATCACTGATATGCAAAAAAGAAACGATATCAATATTTGTTTGATACGTACATTTCAGGAAAAAATGATAATAAATATAAAAATATTTTATCTATTTATTCATACATTTCTAATTCTTCGCGATATTACACAATTACAAAAAAAAAGAAAAAAAATGAAAGTTATCTAACTCTCAAATATTAAAACATCAATTTTACCTTTTCTATTCCTTCTCTCTCTCTCCACCCCTCTCCCTCTCTCCTTTTTAATTCTTTCCATTTCTTATAATCATTACAATCAATCATTTTAAATTAGCATGAAATTTTTTCACAAATTCCAAATCATTTTCGTAACTTTTTTTTTCTTCATTTTCTTTTTTCGTCGTCTTCAAATTGACAAATGAAATGAAATTGATTGACTGTTGTTGAAACATGCAGAAAACATATGTTATTAGGATATGGCACTCATTGTCATCTCATACAAATTGTCACCGGAGATAAGCATCAAGAAAATAGAATGAAGAAAACTAATTAATGCCGAAAATTTCAAGGCTCACCGATTGTATGACCCGTTTAAAATTATTTCTATTCCATTTATTTTTCTTATCATTCTCTTTTTTAAAATTAACTTTATCATTCTTTCTCAAATTTCATACTATTTCCTAATTTTTCTATCTCTTTATCAATATATATATATAAATTAAATCATATAAATATATTAATTAAAATAAATAAATAAATAAATAAATAAATAAATATATATATATATATATATATATATATATATATATATATATATATATAAATTAAAATATATTAACTTTTTTGAAAAAATTATTGGAAAATTTTTTATGCTATAGCTACTATTAAATGTTTATCACTTTTTTTCGGATAATTAAATTTAGAAATTATTTCTCTCAATTTATTCAACAATTTTTTATTGTCAATATTACAAAATGTTATTGCTAATGTATAAATTATCTTATAAAGTTTAAAATGGAATTTGAATTACTTTGAAAAAAAGAAGGAATAAAAAAATTTCTTTTTTTTTTGTAAGATGATAATAAATTTGGATATGAAAAATATTTCCTATTTAAATTAATAATAATTCTCAATTGTCCTTTTATTATTTTGTACTTTATTTTTAATGGTAAATGCAATTGGTATTTCAATTAATACAGATTTAAATGTTTGTAATTTTTATATTTCAAAATTCACAAAAAATTTTGCATCGAATTGTTCCATAATTCCATTTAGCTTATTTAATTAAATCAAAATTTGCATCATTTTTAGCAAAACAAAAGTTGATTATTTTGATCAAACCTGATAGGCTGATTAAGCTTGTGATAAAAGTTCAATTTTTTCAGCAAATGTGAAAAACTGAGAAAAAAAAATTAACTGATCCTTTATTTTTTATTTTTTTGCCTTAAGTCTCAGTTTGCAAAAATAAGAAAGAAAGAAACGGAAGGTTTTAGGAAAGGAAAGATCCGGGAGGTCAAGGTCAAATGTGTCTCATCCAGATTCTTTAAAAAGTAAAATATATATAACTTAATAATAACTTAAACTAATCATCTAACATCAGATCAGACAGTATATTATCCAAAAAGAAATTCTACAACTTAATAAATTCAGAAATAATTCTTCCAAATTAATAATTCAATAAAATCAAACAATTTATATTAATTCTAATGTATTTATCAAATTTAGAAACATTCAAAATTTAAAATTTATTTTTGTCACTTCCATTTTTTTTTAAATTTATTTTCCTATTCATTTTTTCACAATTTCTTTTAATCTATACTATTATCTCATCTATTTTTTCTTTCTTTTTTTTTTTTTTTTTTTTTTGAACAGTCATTTTCTAAACTTTCATTTATCTTTCAAATCATCCATTTCTCATTTTTCTTTTCATCAAATTGAAAATATAGAAGAAAAAAAAAAAAGTTGGCGCCTAAATTAATAGATTTTAATCAGTTGAAAGCCTATTAAAATACCAAATGGCTGACTGACTGACTGATTGCATGTGATTACTGTTGATAGGCTGTGAAATTAATTTGAAAACTTTTGAGGGTCACTTGAGAAAGAATTTCAAATTCATGCTATGGTATTAACAGATAGAAGAGAAGAAGTCTGTGGGGTATGTTGTCCTGTCAATTTGATGAAAATTGAAATTCGTCATCTATCGACAGATTTTCAAAATTGGAGGGATTGAGGGTCTTTTTCTCTTTTCTATATCATTCCCATCTTTCCCGCCGAACAATGATTGGCAATAAATTGGCCCATAAAATTTGTCCAAATTTTATTTCAATTTTAATTTCTGATATTAATTTCAGGAATAAAATAGACACATCTGCCAAATAATTTAAAACCTATGATTATTAGTGATTACAAATGAAATTTCAATAATACACAAATTTGTTTGTAAATTTTTTTTTTTACTTCTTTTCATGTATAAAATGAAATTATATGTTAGCTATTTATTTCATCAAAAAAAAAATTTTTTTTTTTTTTTGTTGATTTTTCCAATCTTTTTAAACTATTGCTTGAAATATTACTTAGAAGCTTTCGTTTTTTTTTTTTTGCAGTATTAATATAAGTATTTGATGTGATGTCACCACCATATTAGTTAAATGTCACATTAATCACATTTTCGTAAATCTGTTTGCATAGTTTCTTATCAATGATTTACCTATTATTCATAATATATCATTTAAAAAAAAGCTATCAAAAAAAGAGAGTTAAAAATAATTTTTATTGAAATGGAGAAAAATGGGAGGAGAGAGTGGAAATTTGACAGGAAGAAAATTCTGGTAGTTTACGACATTGGTGGGACAACAATCTAACAACGCGCACATCTTTTCGTCATTGCTCCAAAATCGCTCATAATCCAATTAGTTGGCGGTGATTGGACACAAACAGGTGATACTAATTCACAACACATCTCACAATCATATCACTTCGAACATCAAAGCTTATCAACGTTTATCATTCATTCATTCATTTGTCTTCCATTTTTATAATTAATTATAAAAATGATTTAAAGAAGAAGAAAAAAAAAAGATTTTTAAAAATTTCATCTGTTTTTAAATTGATTTTAAAATGATGAGGAAAAAAAGTGACGAAAAAAAAAGTATTTTAGACAATAATTGAATCATCGAATCATTGAGTTAACAAAAAATTTGTTTGAAAATTTAAATGAACTCTTATTTCTATGTTATATTATTATACTAATATCTATAACTAATTCTAATTTTTCTTTTTTTTTTTCTTTCTTTTTGCTAACCTTATACTAATTTGAAAAGTAATAATTTAAAAAATATTTTTTCTGTTAAATGCAAATCAAAATTGTAATATTTGCGCTTTCTTTCACTCATATATTTCCCATTTATATAAATAATTATAAAATGATTTAAAGAAAAAAAAAAAAGGATTTTCAAAAAATTTCCCCTATTTTTATCAATTTTAAAATGATGAAAAAAAAGTAGGAAAAAAAAAAATTTTTAGACAACAAATCAATAAATTATTGAAATAACAAAAAATTTGTTTGAAAATTTTAATGAACTCTTATTTCTATGTTATATTATACTAATGTATCCAAGTAATTTAATTTTTTTTTCTTTTTTTTTTATTAACTGCAAATCAAAATTATAATATCAACCAAATCTAAAAGAAAAAAAAATACTAATTTATTCCAAATTAAGCATAAAATTTCTTTAAAAATTTTTATAAGCAATCGTAAAAAACGAATTTTTTTTTTTCAATTGTTATATATTGCTAAAAACTATTAATTTCAGATTTTCTGGTCAATTTTATTATTTCAATCCTAAAGCAACAAGAAGAAAAACGAAACTAACGAAATCGTTTTTTTTTTTTTTTATGCTTCGACAGAAATTTCATTCAAATTTCAAATTATTCACAACAACAGCAGAAAATTTGAAATGCAACAACAATCAGAAGCATTTTTAAAAGTTGACAATCAAAAAACTGAAAAGATATATGTGACATTACAAAGTGAATTATTACTCTATTCACTATGCAATGGTTTATTTGCAACGATTGCTTTCCTTCTATTCCTTTATTTCATCTTCAGGTTAGCTTTTTTTATTTTTTAAATTTTATTTTTATTTTTTTAATTAGAAAATGAAAAGAAAAAAAAATAAATAATAAGGAAGAATTATTTTGTGTTTATGTGAAGCAACAAAATGCATTATGAAGTAAATAAAACTGAATTTATTTGGTTTATTTTTGCAAATTATTAATTTCAATCAAAATTTTCTTTTATTTTACAATCACTAAATTATTTTGCTAATTTATATAAATAAGTTTAATAATCTTGTAAAAGTTATAATAATCCTTCATCACTGAATTTTAATTCATTGTTTTCATTTGAAAAGTATTTGAAAAATATTTGTATATTTGGAATTTTGTGTATTTGAAATTTCAAATATTTGAAAAGTGAAAGTAAATTTTAACAACAAAATTTAACAATATGCTTATATTATTAAAAAAAATTTCATATTATTTCATATTATTCATATTATTAACAAAAATTTAACAATATTGCTTGATAACAACAAAATGTTTCATATTATTTGCTATAATAGACAATTATAAAATTTCAAATCAAATTATTATCAAAGTTATAACTCTATCTAATGCTGTCAAAGAAATACTTGAAAATGCTTATCATTATCAGTTATCTTTGATCATTATCAAAACTATCTCCAACAATTTTTCAACATAAAAAGATCCAATGAAAGAGAAAGATAAAAAATTTCTTTTTCATTTATACAAAATCATTACGGTATCGTATCATCATGTCGTGGTTTTTAAAAAATTTTAATTTTTTCCGAAACATAAGTTTTACTTTGCTAGAAGTTAACGATGCCTTCCTTACATTATACAAAATTTACATGTACGTATTTAGTCCTTTGATATGTACCGCTTTGTTATATAGATGATACAAGGTAGAAGGTCATCGTTTGATTTGTTGTAAAATTTACGAAAAAGGGTGACTGTCAAATTTAGAAGGAGAAAAAAAGGGAAAGACAAAAAAAAAAATAAAGAATAAAGTAGCTATTAACCAAATAATTTTGCCCTTTCTTTACTTTTATTAACATTTTATTTTATTTTAAAAAGAAAATTTATTAGCAAAATTAAATTTATATCTTAAATATTTTCTTGCAAATTTCCTTTCTTTTTTTTTTTGATTAAAATGTATTTAGTTAATTTGATGTACATTTGTAAGAGAAATAATTAGTTGTTTCATTAAATAACAAGATTTTTTTATTGATAATAAAATTAAAGAATGAAAAATAATAGTAAAGAGGAAATATATTGTAAATAGTAAAATCGGTAATAGTAATTAGTAAATAGTAATACTAATTAGTAATAGTAATTGGTAAAACAGATGATTTAAACAAATTTTTGGAGTTTTTTTTTTTTAGATTTTGTACTATTATAAATGTCGTTGAAAATTAATGATAAGAGACTTAATGATAATAGATAAGCACAGAAAAAGAAAAACAATCATAATTAGTAACAATTGTTTGTTATCACAATATCACTTATCATGATATTATGTGATTAGTATAAGTAAATCTAATTTTATTACTAAAACATTAGGATTAAAACTATTAAAAAAAAATCATCGATAAGTGATTACTTTTAAATGATTACTTGTACGCTGCAAAGCAGTAAAAACTTTAAATGAATTCTTTCCGATATTTATTTAATTTTTCTTTTTCTCTCCAATATTTTCTTCAAAAAATCATTCCATCATTTAAAAAAAACAAACAAATAAACAAATAAGTAAATCATTTTTTGATTGGAAAATAATATTTTCTGAGTTATACCAATGAATTGAATGAATTGTCATTTATATATTTCTCATTTATATATTTCGTTAATATTTAATTTAAGTTTAAATTAGGTGCAACTGTTTACTATCAACAATAAACACATATTGCGTATTAATTTATACGGTATTATCGGATTATTGCTAATAATTTTTATTTTTTTAAATTTTTTCTTTCATTGATTTATTTTATAAATTTGATTATGGAAGAGAATAAGGATTAGTTAATGCATGAATTGTAATAAATCATCAATAAAATTTAGCAAAGCTCAATTTCCCATAGAAATAGAATGAATGCTAAAGAAAAGACCGAAGAAAGAAAGAAGGTCATTGAGGACATAAAAATCAGTAGGGTGCCATTTGCGCAAACCGATGAAACTTTGCAACCATCTATGGAATAATATCATAATTCCTATTCTTCTCATTCATATTATTATTATTATTCTTACTATTATTATTATTATTAATATTAATACCAATATAATTATTTTAAATTTTCTCCAATATATATATTTATAAAAAAAGGATGAAATTTTTGGAAAAAAAAACTAAAAATTGAAGTTAAAACTTTTCAACGAAAACGTTTTTTTCATTTTTCCTGAAAATAAAAGAAAAAAAAACTATAAAATTTTTGATAATAATATTTAGGTATGTAATCAAATTGTCATCATCAGAATCAAATGATAAAAGAGAAAAACAAGTTGAAGAAGGATGTATAAATGATTCACCACCACCTTATGAGGTATACATTTTTTTGCATTTGATTTTTGAAAAATTAAAAAAATAAAATTGAATAAATACTTATATCATACATAGCAATCAAAATTGTGCAAAAATTAAAAAAAAATAATCTTTAATTTGATATATATTAATTGATATAATCATTAATTAAATTTTGAATTAAAAGTTAAAAAAAAAAATTATCTTTAATTAAACAATTTAGCTAATTTATTATTATTTTTTTTTTCAATAAAATTAATTATTTTATAGGAAGTAATAAATGGAATACGATATTAATTTTTTTTTCCTTGTTTTTTCCTGATAAAAATTCTAATAAAACATACTGTGCAGCGGTAATCCGGAATCGATAGTTGCTAATTTATGCATCTCACTGAACCATTGCAATAAGCGCCCACCAATACTATGTAATTTCTTCTCGTCACATTCTGTAAATATTATATTTATTTATTTTAATCATTCGATTAAAATAGGAAAACATTTCTATACATTTTTCTTTCTTTTTTTCGGAAATAAATATAAATGATATAATGTAAATGTTGGCATTCGATTAAAATATGTTAATGAAAAGTAAGCGCAAATGACGAAGTAATAATTTATTACAAATAAATAATGAATGCATTGATGATAAATTTTATTCAAAATAATTCATTTTTTTTTAATTGTTTTTTTTTTTCATTTCATTTTTTTTTTAATTGTTTTTTTTGTTTGTTTGTCTTTTATTGAAATACAACAAAATTCAGTTAATTACCATTGGTATTCTCAATAAACACACTGTGATATCATTTGTATAATTCTTATCTCTATCATTAGTGAAAGTATTACACTTACTAATCAAATAACAAAATAAAAATTAATGAAATTAAAAAAAAAGAAAAATTAAATTGATTATCTTTGTCTTTTTTTGGTTGTCGTTTTTTTAACTTATCAATATAATTTTACTTATCAGTATGTTAATTTTACTATTATCTTTATTCTATATATGAAGATTGAGATACTGAGCAGTAAAATGATAACAACTATGCATTGTGTCTGATAAGATAACAATTCAGTTTTTTTTTTTTTTATTTTATTTAAAATCTTTTTTTCTTTTAATGTATTTGTATGTGTGTGTGTGTGTGTGATATCAAAAATTTCTTTTCTTCTTTTAATGATGTTTAATTAATCCTAAATGTATTCGAAAATTTATATTGAATTTTCTTATCACATTTCTTCCTACCTCTGTATGAAAAAATAAATTTTTTTTTCTTTGATTATTTATTATACATTGATTAAATAATTTATTTTTAAAATTTTACAGTTTGTTTTTACTTCTGAGCAAGTTGTGACGTATTAAATTAATAAATAAATTGAAATCAATCAATCAGTCGATCAGTTCAATATGATAAATTAAAAATTGAAATTGTGTACAATGAAATGAAATATTAATTGAGCGCTTCAAAACATTTTAACTAATTATTTTTCTTTGTTTTTGTTTAATTGATTACAATTTTATTTATGTTGATTTTTCATATTGTTAAGTGAAAAATTATGAAATTGAGCAAAGAAAAAAGAGAAGAAAAATAGGTAAAATTAATGAAAATGTTAATTTCTTAGGTTAACAATTTTCAATCTTTCATTTTCTTATTTAAAATTTATCTTTAAGAACTCTCGGGAATTATAGAAATTAGCGAATACCATAATTTGTCGTTTCGATGTGCTCATAGTGTCGCGGCAAATGTTCATGTTTATGTTTTGATGATTGAATACGACTATTTCTGTAATGGCTTTTCTCCTGAAAATATTTCAGCAAATTAGAATTTAATAAATATAAATACAATTAAGCAAAATTAATTAGCGAAATAATTAATATCATTAATAAACAATTATCAGAAGCTTTCAAAATTTTGATATATAAAAGTGCAATCACATCACCTGATCATCATGATAAATTAATTTACCACTTGTAAAATCAACATGAAAACCATCTCTAAAAAACAAAAAATAAATCATTATTTTTAATATATTATCACTATTATCACCGTTATGATCATTAAAATCGTT